GACATATAACAAGAATATCATTTAATGCGTATTTATATTTCCATTTCGAATTTATTTTTTTTATTCGATATGATTGAAAAGAGTTGAAATACGATCTAACTATAAGTTTATCTCTTTATTTGACATATAACAAGAATATCATTTAATGCATATATATATTTCCATTTCAAATTTATTTTTTTTATTCGATATTATTTAAAAACAAATTCGATCAAAAAATGTTTATCTATTCAAATTTGTGCATTACACTAATATTATACATATTTTTATTATCATATTCCGTTGAATGATCTAATAGCTAATTAATATATAGCCTATGAAAATGCGACAGTGTTTCTAATTCAGAAACGATATTATAATTTATGAAGAATTAATTACTTAATTTTAGATTTTTTTTTAAGAATGAGTAAGGAGCAGTCCGAAGAAAGTAGCAGCAGAGAAATTGATGAAGCATCCTCTTCATCGGAACCATTCTTTGATGTTGGACCAGAAATTGGTGGGACATTGCAGGCTTCCTCTTCATCTGAACCTCTAGTTGAATTTGGATTTGATGTTGGTGGAACATCACAGGCTTCCGCTTCATCTGAACCCGCTTTTGAGGCTGAATCCCAAAGTGGTTCAGTGGATCAAGAGCTTGTTTCCACTACTCCAGGTCCCTCAACTATTTCATCCTCATCCGCATCAGGTGAATCATCGGATCCAAGTGGTTCAACCCGTGGAAAGGCTCGACCAATTCTAGAAAATTTAACAATACCAGAACTTTGGGCGCAATATGTGAAGTGCCTAATGATGGCAGCACCATCTAATGCAGGACGAGTTGAGATTGAACGTAGTGCTGGATTACATGCCGAAAAATACTTGGAACAAATTATAAAACTATCACCAGGTTATTCAATTATCTGGCACTTCTCTCTGTTGTTGTTTTTTCTTTTCTTCGTCCTAATTTTCTAGTAATCCAAAAAAAAAAAAAAGGAAGTTTAAATACACAATAATAACAAGAAACATGTTACTCTTTCAGGTATAATATATAAAGACAGGTAAGATCTATAAGTGAAATTTAAGTTTCTCCTATAATTTCTATCTTAAGTTTAAATTTTTCTTTGAATTAGATTACACATACGTAGATTACACGTTCCATCCTCCTTACATAAATATGTTTCTAATTAAATTTTCAACTGCCAGCCAATATTACTGATTAATCTAATCAAATTAGTGTAATTTAGCATAATCAGTACAATAACTAATAAGGAAAATATTGAAAAAACAATTTCATTTATCATTGATAGAAAACAGATCCAATTTTGGAAATTTTTCTCGAAGTGATTACTTATCATCCAATATTTTAGATTTATCAATTATGCAAATATGTTGCAACCTTTATTTTAACTTTTATCAATTATCATTTTTGTAATTTAAAATGATTAAAATGCAAATTAACTTTCCAAAATTTACATATTACAGCACCATCAACAACAACTGGGGAACCTCTATCGGTACCATGTTTCAATCCTGATGAACCAAGAGAAGTTAGTGAAGATGAAAGATATAAAGTTGAGATATTAAAAGCAACTAAAGCAGATAGCGAACTGATATGGAATACTGCTGCACAGGTATCATCAAATCCCTTGCATTGATTATTATACATTCCTATATTAGGCTAAAAAAAAAAATGATATCATTTTTAATGATAAGCGAAAATGATACCAGTGATAAGCAAAAGTGATATCATTTACAATGGTAAGTTTTCCTAGGTATTATTCATTGTTCGCCTTTTTTTTACAAATTAAGTTTTTTTTAGAAAAAAATAAAAATAAAAAATGTTATCCAATATCATTTTTAATGACAAGCAAAAGTGATATAAATGATAAGCAAAAATGATAACAATGATAACCAAAAATGCTATCATTTTCAATGACAAGTCTTGGTATTATTCAATATCATTCATCGTTCTTTTTTTATTTTCATAAATTAAGTTTTTTTTTTAGAAAAAATAAAAATAAGAAATGTTATCCAATATACCAAAAAGAAGAAATGGGATATATTTATATTTGTTAGATGTTAAACATAGCCTAGAAATGCATAAGCCTTATTCATTCCATAGTTCCATTATCATTTCAATTATTTGTACATAGGCTAGTAGGATTATATCAACTAAGCTAGCAAAGACATTATTGACTAGGCTAATATTATAGCAACAACTATGCTAATAATTAAATATCAAATTAGGCTACTAAGACTGTAACAACTAGGCTAATAATGCTACATCATTCATCATTATATATGTTAATGTGATTTAAAAATAAATTTTCGTAGTTTTTAACAAAAAAAAACAACGAAAAAAAATTTTAATCAATTCTTTCTTTAGAGTAATACATTCGAGATTTTTTTTTTAGTCACAAGCATTAGTTCTCATTAGAAGAGGTAGAGGTCCAGCAGTAGGATTGGATGAGTTAAGAAAATTTAATACAGCAATGCAAGAAGCAGCAGATATCTATCGTGAAGCTATTTCAACTAGTCAGGTATTCTAAAACAGCAATTGGTCATTAAGAGATGGTCACTTACATATATTCATATATTCATAATTCATGATTTAACTTTGTTATGACAAAATTTGATCTTTATTTAAAATAACTAAATCATTACTTAGTATATTTTTAACTTAGCAAAAGAGTAAAAAAAAAAAAAGAAAGTAAGAATTGAATTCAGAATAGAAAGTTAAGTAATGACAAAATTGATATAGATATTGCTCATTGTTTCTAAATGGAAGGCGCTAAATGTTAGCCATAAAAATAATCTATTATTTAAAAATATATAGCTAATAATTAAAATGTTACTTCTAGGAAAGATCAGTTAGTCGTGTTGGAAATTATTACTATCGTGTAAGTTATGCTGGTAAAACTGAAACTTATCATGCGGATATGATGCGAGGTTTAATTTTGGATCAATTACCGCTATCAGTTCGCTTTTTTACGGAACAAACAAAAAGTGAAAGATTGAAAAGTGTATTGTATGAATTGAAACAAAAACGTAAACGTAAACAATAATTTTAATTTCTAAATTCCTTCGTTTTTTTTTTTTCATTTCCAAACAATTCAAATTTTTTCACACAAATTTCCATGCAAAATTTTTTTTTTCTTTTCTGAATAATTCAAATTTTTTCACACAAATTTCCACACAATTCAAAATACATATTTGAATCAAAGATTAAAGTTTATCGATCGAAGTCAACAAAGGTTAAAGTTTATTGATCAGAGATTAAAATTTATTGATCAAAGTGTTTTTTTTTGATAAAAAATATCAAAAATTTGACAACTTTCTTCAATTATATTTATTTCAAATGGCTTCTAACACATTTATTTCTTTATAATATATTTTTCTTACATGTTTTTTTTCTTTTCTTTTTTTTTCCTCCTAAGAAGCCTCTAATGATCGGTGAATAATTCAAAGCGGAAAATTCTCAAATATCATTTCTAACATTGTGAGTATTATCATTTCAAGAATTTCAAATCTTTAAAATGACAATTTTATACTATTACCTTCTTCTACATAATACTAATTTACCATTTTAACATTTCGACATAATTTACATAAATTCCATCTATCCATTTGTCCGTTTATTCGGTGATATATAGTAGTAAACTTTTATGATTCAAAATCAAGAAAGTATATGAACTTTGATGAAAAGGATTATATGTAAAAAATTTAAGAAGATCTTCTTTTTACTGGAAGATCTTAGATGGAATACGTGATGAAATTTCTTTATCAGAAGATCTTAAAGGGAATAAAGAATGAATATCTTAACTGGAAGATAACAGAAGGGATAAAGAATGAATCTCTTTATCAGGAAATCTCAGGAGGATTAAAGAACATTTTTTGATACAATTTTATTTGAATTATATACGTTGAAGTTATTTTCAATTATATATTGGATGTCATTCATACTTTCATTTGTTTTATAAGCAAAGAATTTGACTTTTCTTTTTTCCTGTTGTCATTTGTTTCTTTTCCATTTCAAATATTTCTTTTTCGTGTATATATTCTGAATTTTACTTGAAAATATTGTTTGTCAATAACAAAAAATGATTTTATGATTTCAAATGATCCTACGATTTTGCATATTATGTGAAATTTCATTTGTGAATAAAATACATCATGCATTATACTTTAAACAATCATAAAACTTAGTTGGATTGGGAGAATTCGTAGAAATAAATTTGAAATGTTTCGAATGAACCAATAATTAAATAAATGAACTTTGCCCCGAATTCCATGGAATCGTCTATAGTACGGAAGAATTGAGCAACAGAATGTATTATGAAGAGAACAATGAGATAGATAATATAATATACTTTCCTCATGAAGTCCTCTCATATTGGTCATTGGATCAATTTACAATGAGAAGCTGTGATTATCAAGCTGTGATTATCAAGTTAGCTTGTATACTATAACCATTCATCTTATTATACATTTCAGATTATATTCAATTCATTCTTAAGTGCTATTTGTGCTAACCTGGAATAATAATCATGCTAACTTTTATTCCTATTCCCAAAACATAATTTTTATTGATTGGAAACAAAGTTGCGTAATCGTGCTGCGTTAAATGAATCATCCATATAACGCCCGGGAAGTTTTGGTTTCTGTAACTTGAACGGGGTGAGGTGCACTGTTTTCGGGATAGATTCTTTTGGGAGGTAGTTGTCCATGAGTTCTTTTCATATAACACTCATTAGTTATGTCGTCTGATACTGATTATCTGTTTGAATAATACTTTTGGGGGAATAATTTTAAAATATTTGAGAAAAAAACTTTGGATTAACACAATAAAATGTATTATTATATAATTAAATGTGTAAGCAGATAATTTCTTACTATATTATCTTTTTCTTTTCATTTGCAACATGATAACATGTGGAACTTGGCTTACAGAGTATAACTGATGGTTTTGATCTATTGCTTACCTAACCATTATTGGTCTTGTATGTGAGAACTTTTTTGCTGTTAAATCAAGTCAATTTTACTTCATAACGATACAAGCAATATAGTCATCAGTTTTTTACGCTTTCAAAAACTTGAAAAGATTTCTTTTTTCAAACTTTGATTTTTAAAATAGTGAAAAGAATACGTGGACAAGACGTCTTGAATTTCAAGCTTGTTGTATTAAATTGGCTCATCAACAGTATATAGTAACATTTGCGAAAATCTATCCATACTAATTTGCACCGTTACTGAAATAGAGGAGTTACAGTAGCGTTATTGTAGGTTCAAGGATGTTGATACAGCATGTATTTATAATTAACCGAGCTGGAAGCTTAATTTACGACTGGGACAGCAAGGTTGACTGCACAGGTGTTGAGAAGACATTTAGTTATCCGCTTGATATTGTCCTTGATATCATTGACCAGAAAGTGACTGTCGTATTTGGTGAACGGGATGGAATCGGTCTCAGGTTTGTTCTCCATACTTTCATGTTTTTGAATTTCAGAAAGAAAGCAAGGGCTCGCTTAGTTTCAAAAGTTACCAGGAACTTAAGATGTCTTTTTTGTGCATTCTTTTGACCTTTCTAATCAAATATTTCAACGGTAAATAAAGTCGTGTGAATTTCGGCTGATATTTACCGATACACAAGCTAACGCTGTCAAACTTTGATTGTTAAGGAGTTCTTTCAAATCATGTTCATTTGGAAGTTGGTTAAAGTTAATTACTGCACTCATTTATTGCTCTTTTAAGATACATATTATATAGTTTAAGAATAACAAATGACTCATAAATTAGTTTAGATACACTGTGTCTGCAATAAACGGCATCCCAGTGCAAGCATGTAAAGTGATCTTTGATGGTGTAGAGAAGATGGTATTGGATGTTATTCAAGAAGAAGCCAACTATCCCCTTAGCATACGTTTCCAGTCACCTACAATCACAACAAATGAAAAGATCATCCTTTCGAGTACATTTCATTCACTCTATACAATAGCTGCTCAGCTGAGTCCTGCCTTGAAAAGTTCTGGCATTGAAGTTCTAACCACGAATCACTTTAAGTAAGTATATTTTAGTGTTTTTGTTTTCCGCAAATGATTTTTAATATAAGGCCTATATTACAGAGTTCACAAATGAATTTGTAACCTGTTCCGTTTACCTAATTGTTATTTGGCTTTTCTTTTTACCATTCAAATATTATTTTGTTTTTTTACCAGTGGGAATTTTAATTTATTTCACGTTCGAAAAACACGAAAAACACATGTCGTGGCTTTTAAGAAATAGTAGTGACTCATAATAAGTCTGTAATTGACAGATATGGAATAATTATTTTAAACAAATGGCGTAATAGCTTAATGCTTGTTCGAAATTTCGGGATCTATTATTGTGGGACAGTTTTTCCTTGTGATATTAGCGATGTTGATTAAAGTATTAAGCTTCATCTGGCATTTTACCAAAGCCGTAACATATGTTCCTATTTTCTTTTTTCCGTGGTCGAAGCGACTTTTAACACGTTAAGTAAAAAGGCGGTATTTAAAAGAAGTGAAATATGTGGAACTTTAGGATGTGTTGAATCTTCAGTAGAGTCTTATTCTAATCTTCAGCATTAATGAGAAATTATAGGCTGTACTGTTACCAGTCGACGACAGGTGTAAAATTTGTTGTGGTTGGCTCGTTATCACTGAGCAGTGGTGTCGATGGACTTTTGCGACGGATTTATGAGCTTTATGCTGATTTCGCTCTGAAAAATCCTTTTTACTCTATCGACATGCCGATACGATGTCAAAGATTTGATGATGCAGTCCGAAGCCTTATAGAAAGACAAGACAAATTTAGTATGCTGACAATTTGAATTTATGTAGATTGAAGTGTATGGTTAGGGATTCCATTTGTTCTTCAGTTGTTATAATCTCGGTGCAGTTATATTTTTAAAAAGTATGGGTGGGAGCTGATAAACGTTATGTTTTATTATGAGGAAGTTCTTTTTTTCTTGTCAGAAACTAGTTGCAAGTGAAAAACTGTTTGTAAAATATTTTTGTTAGCAGTGCTGAGGTATGTTATATTAAAGTCTTTTTTCCCAATTCACTAACTTGTATGAATTATGAGCACAGTGCTTCTGAAATAATTGGTAAGAGTCAGTACCGAATCTGTTGTATTTCTTGCTATCGGGAATTTAAACTTTCCCGAACTCTACTGATTATTAATTTTTTTCAAGAGATAGTTTTTAAAACCTTTCTTTTTCAATTGTCTCAATTATCAGTTAAATTTGCGTTTGTATGGATTTATATTAAACGGAGCTATATTTAATTTAATAGGGAGGTATAGTTTGATAGACTCGTTTTGGAATTTATGATAAGTGGGAAATTGCTCATATAAATATGTAATGTGAGTATTAGTTAGTTCTGCGACAGTTGTGTCCGTTATTTGTACATATTCTTCCATTAATATCTACAGAAACCATTCCTGAAAAGTTATATTGTTTTTTGTTTTTATAAGTTGCACATTATTTCGTGCATGTAAAAGTTTACTTTCAAATTCTGTGTCATTAGTTGAATGGAGCAAAAGCCAGATATTATGTATTTTTTCCCAAAATTTTTAATGAGATTTGCAGAATACATTCCTAAAGCAATGCGTCGTATTTCTTTAACATTAGTTTATATAACAATTTAGATTGGCTTTAGCAGAATCCAAAATCGCCTGATTCAAAGGTTCCATAGTTAGTTTATATAACATGTAAAATGTAGTGTTTTCCAAAGCGATTCAGGTAGATGGTGTAAAGAAGCGATTTTTTGAGGTTTATGTGCCCTTTTTACTGTTGTGATATGTAGTGTAAGAAAGTGAGTACGTATTAAAATTTCAGAAATAGTTTACAAGGAATTCAAGTGCGACTACTCGTAGATTTAGTTGACGGCTTCTGATGGAGGCTCGTTTTAACAGGATTAAAATGGGTTTGATAAGCATTCGTGTTAGATTTGTGAGTTCTTAATTACAGCGTGTAGTTGTGCGAAAGTGTCGTAAATTTTGTGAAGATTGTTTTGGATGGAACAATAGATATCCGGATGGATGCTTTGATTAGCATGATTTTTTTTTTCAGGAAGTCCAGTAAGTGGGCTTATGTAATTGCGATCTGACGGTCTGGATCATATATGGATACCAGTTTTTCATTTCTAAACCATATTCCGGGTCAGAAAGGATACATTGTGGTTTCAAATGGCTGTATTGTCAAGGTTTGTTCATTTTTGGAATTGAATTCATCAGTTCGCATTTGGACTTTCTCCTATTTCACGTTAGATAAGTTTTTCTGCGTATTTGACGAAGAAAACGATTGGGCAACTGCTTCAAACGAAATGAAAATGTTGAGATTGCAACGCTTGTGAACCAGTCTTCCTGAAATATAAAATTTAGCTGCTTAAAAAGAGAAATTCCTCTAGTTCTATGAATCCTTCTTTGCATACTCATATGTTGTTACTTTTTCTTTTCACAGCCGTTAAATCCCAGAACTAGCTGACGTTTTTTATAATTTTCCAATTTACAATGCTTCAGTCAAATGGAGAACTTGAAAATGACGAATCATTGGCAGTGAATGTCCAGAAGATGTTATCGGTTGGCGAACCTCTCGTCCATATCGTAGGAAAAATCGAGAAAATGACAATTGTATACCCAGAACACAATCTTGAAGTTGTTCGAAGTGGCAAATATGTATTTATTGTGAAGAAAAAAACAAACACTTAGTATGAGTACTTCATGCATCTCCACATTTTGTGTATATGCTTCTAAAGATAACATTTTATAAAGTAAAGCATCTTCGGCAATATATTTAGATCACCTATTCTTTTATGCGTTTTTCTGTTGATAATTCATTTCACTAACACCCTTTGTCGGGAAAGTTTTGTTGTTATTTGTTGATGTGATGAATCGCAAGGGGAAGGTTTATTGAATAGCAGAATTATAGCAACCAATATAATACAATAGTATTAGGTAATATAAAATAGAGGATGAAATATGATTAGTACAATAATTTTAAATAGGAATGGTTAATAGTCGAGTTAATGGAGACAAATGTGGCGTTGATATAACGTCCGACCAAGAAATTTTACTGAAGAGTGCCGAGAATCCGTTCTGGGAGCCTTTATATTGCCCATAAGTAGGTTGCGCTTACGGATAACATACAGATTAGTTTTTTTCTCTTATCCAAGAGGAAATTGCATGGGAATTATTTTACCGGATGTGCAGCTTTCTCACATCTTTATGTTAGATTTGTAAATAAGATAAAGTTTTTACAAATTAGCGGATGTGTACAATCTCAGTATCAAAGAAAAAAGACATTTTTAGACAAAAAAGACAAAAAAAGACAAAGACATTTTCGCATGATTGAGCTTAGATAACAGACTCATCACTTTAGATATGGAAAAACGTGTCTTGTGTAATGCGACGAGTCTTTTACCAAGGAAATGCCCTATGGAACAATTCTTTAACTGCTTGAATATATGATAATTTCCTTCGATTTTCCCGACACCTTTAAAGTTTATTGGAATATGTTGTACGCCGAAAATTCTCAGGTTTTGATCGAAGGCCTATTGAATTGTACGTCACTTATTAACGAATCCTGTCAAATTTCTGGAGATAATTGGAATATTTTATACAGCCAGGTCTCTAAGGTTTCTAATGAATGAAGCCTTATAATGAAACCTGCTTCAATGTTCCTGTCACTGCAACACCATATAGTAATCATATAGTAACGTTACCATATAGTAAATCTACCTTAATCTTATGAAGCACTGGTACAGCTAATGTTGTGAAGATTAGAAAAGTAACGTCAGCAAAGTAAGAGAAGAAATATATCTATAACTCATAATTGTGCTTGTTTCATGGTTATGTATACAAATTGAAGAAGTGTAATGAGTAGTAGTTCAGTGCAGCAATGACCCTTCCGATTATCAGTTCTTAAGATAGCTTCCAAATATTTCTGGCATTATGCCGTGCATAGATCAGCTAAGTCACAAAATGCAACAGCCCATTTATTAGAAACATTTAGACAGGAATAATGAAATAATAATATGTATAGTCAACAGGACATAAATAAAGGTATAATAATGTTCCTCATAAAAGAGACGAAAAAAAAGACTTTCTCGGAAAAAAAAGAAAATCCGATAATAACAGATAGTAATAATAATTAATATAATTAGTGATAATAATTAATGTAATTAGTAATAATAATAATAATAATAATAATAATAATAATAATAATAATAATAATAATAATAATAATAATAACAATAACAATAATAATAATAATAATAATAATAATAATAATAATAATAATAATAATAATAATAATAATAATAATAATAATAATAATAATAATAATAAT